TTTATGTAATTATTTACTGAACTTTACATGTACATCTTCAAAGTAACATGACCATTTATTACTGTTTATGCACTTCTTATGAATTATATTAAAGAACAATCATATTTTGCTTCAGCAAGTGGTTGATGATCCCTCTTCCCCCCCCCCAAAAAAAAATAAATAAAAGTCTCCAAAAATCAATTTAAGGATCTCACAGTGACTTAAATACCGAATTATACGAGCGCACGATTTTAGAAGACCTCTACGGAGTGAAACTTGCTCTGCGGTCCGTTTCTTCGGAGGCGAGCAGTTACCTTGTGTGCCATTGCCCCAAAGTGATGTCATTCTTAAGGGTTCAATTGTTCAAACAAACGAAACCACCATTATTTGCTACTAATACGTAGCTTCCCGATTGCTAAATTATTTTTTACGACGTCAGTTGTAAAATAACTAATTGCACCTCATAGGAGAAACAAATCAAAACTTCTAGCAAACCTCATGGAGGGCACTCCGCATTTTCTGTCGAGAAAGAGTAGCTCTGACAGTTCTGAACCTTGATACAGACGTCCTTACAGATCTCAAGTGCGCATAAGAAGTGCACTTGCCCTAGAACAATGCGAGAACGATCGATAACAGATCGCGTTTTTCGTTTCTTCGAACCCCACACTCGATGTGCTGTGGCATCCGCCACTCGCGCTTCGTCCCAATCGCCTCTCCGCTGCCAACACGTCCTCCGCCGTCTCAGTCGCTCCGTTTCTATGGCAATCCCCTTTGCTCCGCCGCTCCGGCCCCGCCTCGACGCGTGACCCCGAGCAAGACAACGCCCCTCCCAAGCGCATCTCTCCCACTTGGAAGTGCAAACAACGGAGCGTGAAGCCATTGTAAGGGTTTCAATTCTCGAGCGACGACAAAAAGCTAAGAGGGCCTCTTATGGCTAACTATGAAGGTGATTTTTTCTTACTAAGATGTTGTTCATACATTTTACATCACTAAAACTTCAAAACTTCGAATTCATATAAGTCTTTCGAGATAAATATTTTCAATAAAAAAAGACAAATATCGAAACGTAGAAGTTATAAATAGTTCAGATTCGGCATTATTTACGAAAGCTAATATGCAATGTAAGGTAAAATATTTTATGGAAAAAATATAACCAATTTTGATAATCTAGTTGCGATTGTTTATCACTCGCGTCTTTTAATTCTATAAGCGTCCTATTTGCTTTCGCGAACTTTGGAACAAAGAAAATACTTGAGTCTTTAATTACCTCGCAGCTATTTCCCAAGAAAAATTGAAGTGATTTTCATAACGAGTACTAAAATAACTGTAGTGACAATGAATGTTCGTTTTTCTTATATTCTGTGAATACACTGGTAATAGAACACGTTCTCTGCACAGTACACAATTCAATTGATATCACACGAACCACACTGCACCTAACGTACGATGAGCAAATACAAAAAGTTTTCTTCAAAATCGTTGAAAGGGCATCATTTTCGTACACCTGAACGCAAATAATGCAGGAAAATACTAAATAAGAAACATAGAAAGTGATGGTGGCGAATATTCCATTAAGTAAACCAGTGTTCGCAAATTATACCAACGTATATATTTACGAAAATATTTAAGCGAAAGTCATTGTCACCCCGTAAAGAAATAAATATAGTTTTCTACTCTATGAAATGTTCAAAAACAGAATAAAAACGAATTTTACTAATTGACATTATTTAAGTGTCATATAGTAATGCTAATATTTAATGAGATAGAGAACTTAATTTACTTCTAAATCTATTACTGAACAAATTTTACTGTGGTGGCAAATAAAAGTAAATGAGGTGCTAATGTACAAAGATAATGTTGCACTTGGAAATTGTTTTCAGATATTTTGTGGTTGGGAAAGACTCGTGACAAGACAATTTTCAACTTGGGCACAACGTTATAACTACGTAGTAGACGCATATTACTAATAACTAACGTCATTGATTTGATTCGTTAGGTGGTAACTAACATATTCACTTCTCCAGCAAAAACAAAATGATACATCTTCTTTCAGGAGACTAAACAACAACCCCACGGAAAGAGAAAATTTTTCCTGGCATCTTTCGCCCTCTTTTTAACCACACATACAGAAATTCCCCTTTCTTGATACAGGTCAATACCTTTGATTTCTTCGAAAACATAAGATGTCATTACACGTCCAAAATTATCTTTTTGTTGTTTATATATCTACACTTAATTTTAATTGTATTGCCACACAGTCATATACGCATTTCATTGTGCTGAAACGAATTTCATTGTGCTGAACATTTTATGCGGACACGTATACAGTTCTGTTGACTCAATGCGATCAACCAGAGAAACGAATAGCCAATCAACGTTCAGCATCGGTTAAGAGCATTCAAAACAAATGAGTTAGCAAAAGATGGCGAATCTTTCTCCAAAAAAGGTATTTATTTATATTATTTTTATAAGGTGTTGTACAGGTTACTCGACTTCTGAAAATATTTTGTAAACTATTGAGGAAATTTAAACGGAATGTTTACCAAATGTTCCTCGACGTAGGCTACTCAGTTGTCGTTACAAATCTTCTGACAGGTTTAAAGATACTGGATTAGCTTAGTTTTTAAACGGATCACTGTGCATTTTGAAACGAATAGTTATGTTTTAAGAAAACAAATTCATCAAAAACACATATATTCGTATTTGATAAATAATTAAGAGTCCATAAGAGAATGCAATTCGGTGCCGCCCGAATAGCAGGTGTAGAGAGATTATTCTAAGACGAGTCTGCTTTGATAGCTACTGCTGGGAACAAAACTACAGATTACGCTCATGCGCTTAATTCCTTCATTATCAATTGCACCACTAGGTAGCGGCTTCCTCTTGCAATGTCGTTGTCCACGAGCTGCGAGCGCAGAGTAGCCAGACTTAGTGTCAGACTCTGAAGTTGGCGGCGCAGGGCGGCGTCGCTCGAATGACCTTCCAAGAACCTCTCGGCGAAGCCCTCGCAGGTTGCATTCTCTGACGAAGAAAGTTTACATTTCGTCCAAAAGGATGAATTGAGCAATAAAACAAGTTCGAAATGGAAACTAAATGAAATTGGACAACCACCCATTATGAAGGCATGTAAAACTGATCGATTCTATCAGAATTTGAACAGGGAATTTTTATTAACGGTTTTGGACCATCTGACTAGGATTCTCTATTCTCACCATCTACTTAGTTTCAGAAAAAAATTAACATTGGGTTCTGTGCTTTCTTTGAATTAAATACTCTGAATTGGTTAGGAAATCGTGCTTAAATGTATACTCTTTTATAATTCTTGGATGTTCTGCGAGGCGCAACTTAAAAACATTCAATTTTAGAAATTATGCCTTTTCAATCTTTCTTCAACTTATATCTTTAAACTTATTGAGCAAATGTTTCTTTTAGTACCCCATTAAAAAAATATTTCATCAGGCAAAAAAAAAAAAACAACAACAACAAATCTCCACTTTTTAAATTGGGTGTTCTTGCATCGTGTGTAGTAACGTAAGTCCTGGGAAACACACTCCACAGTAAACATTACGTCCCCGATCTTTTGAAACCATTGCGAGTCAATTGGAGCCCTTTTTCTCAGCTTTGAACGGTTTTGGTAGATCTCGAAAAGGAAGTAAAAATACTCGAGTATGTTTCTCTGCTTCACTAGGAAAGTCGAGCATTTCCCGGACAAGAACGAATTCTAGCGAATTGTAAATTCTCCAGTTATACACATTTTTTATAGATATTCAAATTTTTCCACTAAATTTCGTGAATTTGTCCTAATCTAAACGAAATAACTTATTGAAATTACGCTGTTGATTATTTAAATGGACCGCGAACTTCTCAACAGTTTGGACGTCAGCTCTGCGGAAAACCTGAGCCGCGGAGTGTTACTTCCTGCTGTACACTAAACGCCATTTGCTCTGCCGCCACTTACAGACTGAACCGGCCTGTTGATTGCCATTTAGACAGCTAGACATCAGCGGTATTTTTAATAGCCGAATAATAGAGACCTTTGAAACGTTTGGAAATCCAGACGCACCATTGAACGTCACAATCCGCCGCTTTTTAAAATTTGTTTTTGTTCAATACTATGCATTCAAATACTAACACGTGCAGTATTCTGAATTTTCCTTCGGAAGATCTATCTATTCGTGCAAAAAAAGAATAGTTTTTTTATTAAAAAACCGATGTTAGTTCAGTATCTTCATATCACAAAAATGTTCTAAAAAAGTTAATAGATTCGACTGCTAGTACCTTTGTCCTTAATTGGCGGAAATTTCATCTGAATATCGTAAACCGTTTGGAACATATTTAAGGTGGATACTTTTATTGACTAACCCTGAGTAATGCGATAAGTATTGACCGAGAAATGTCGATAATATGAAAGCAGACTTGGAGGGTTATTTGCTCTGTCTCCTCAAAGTAGTCGTTCGAAATGTCACTAGACGCGGCAGACAGAGAGGCCTTAGTACCCAGAACTCGAAAAATTCAAAATGGATACATCAAATAGGCCTGGATATAAATGGAACTTACATGAGAAAGGCTGAGGAGTCTTCCAAATATATTAAAAAAGAGTTCAAAACAATGGAAAACTGATTCTGCAACTATTGCCTAATAAAAAGTTTGGGTACCATCCAACACCACATTTCATTTACTTCGCTCTCGTATCCAATGCTTTCCTTGAGTGAACTTTGAGAGTAAATATTGTGGCGGCAGTGGTCGAGTGGGAGGCCGCGATCGCGCTGCACCGATCGAGACGGAATAATTGTTGGAAACTGCTTACGGTAGAAAGGCGCTGAACAATCCGAATGTCAACGCTATTAAAGAGACTAAAGTGAAGAAATTGGGTGGTTAGCAGGTTAATGACGTAAACAGCGACATCTCTCGACCGAACTTCAATCGTTATGTCACACAAACAGCCACACTCTTCCCCCACGACTAACCCTGCGACACACTTCAACCTTGCGGATCCACTTGTACAACATGCTGTCACGTACCTGTGAGCGACGTCATGGTGACGATGAAGACGAGCAGCCAGGCCATGGTCACCGCATGCGACGCCTTCCCTGCTTCACACACTCACTCGGACACTCGATCACTCACCGGCACTCGCTTCGCTTCGCTTCACTCTGCCCCGCACCTCGACACAGCGACTGCCCTCGCGCTCGTCTCTCGCCCGACTGCCGGCCGGAGCGCCCCACGTGCTGCCCCCTCCACGCCGCCCTTCCCCCTCCCTCCGCTGCGCTCCGCCGCACGCAGTGGGCCGAGGGAAACACCCATGTCGACCATCGAAGTCCACGCGGAGGGGGCATTTAATTTTTTCGTTAGGATTCAACTAACACATCAAAGTGATAGAAACATCAGGAACATTAACATACCTTGTATTGTCGGACTAGATAATTCACAAAATCATAAGGCTTTTTATTGACGAAAACTTCGTTTTACTGTTTCATCACCCTTCGTCATATTGTTTTATGGATATCTGAAAATTATGATAGAATTTATGGATCGTGAACTTCTCATTTTTAAAATATTGACCACGTAGAAACATAGAAGACAAATCATTGATGTTAAAAGACGTGGGACTTAAATGTCGGCGTTAACTGCATTGATGATTTTATAATAACACTCCATAGCTTTGAGCAACGTTGCTATCTTCCACCCTCAGATACTGGTATTTCTACGTCGCCAGCGAAACGAAAAGCACTGGTTATCTTTAGACACTTTCATTATATATTTTACTCGGACATCAATTGAATTATTTATTTCAAAAACCCGTCTAACTCCAAAATACAAAACACGCTTTCGCGATTGATTATTTTTCCAGGAGGATAGGCACATCATTTAGTTCATATTTTTATAAAAAAATATTCATTTATCAACTTCTTTAATAAAAAAAATATATTTTGACATCTGAAAAATTGGAAGACTTAATCTCAGTTTTCTCGAAATGAGGGATATGGCGTTTGACGGGTTCTTGAAACAAACGATCCAATTTCATTGTCATGCATTTACAAAACACATGTTTGTACTATCTGATGAATGTAGTCACGAATATAAGTAGATACATTTTTGCTCTTTAAATGTTAATTAACTACCACAAAATCATTTTAATTACTATATATCTAAAAACTTGTTGTTTTCTTGTAGTTTGTTAATGAAGAAAACCAAACATTTTGAACCTTCTAATTTAAATATACACGAAAAATAAATAACACTTTCTGGCTGTTTAATTGTTTATTCATTACAATATTAATTATTGCCATGTATTTTTAATGAAACAGAGTTTTTAACTTAATCAAAGAAAAAGGTAATCAACGTAATAAAACAAAGTATTTATGAATTTTGTAATCACCATTTATGCTGAAAAATAATTTTCAATATAATTTATTAAAAAGAAACTTTAGAAAAACACTTTTTATTAGAAATAGATTAACTATAGCAAAACCCAATATAATACATATCTAGCATACTAATCGAAACAACTTAAACTCAAGAAAAAAACAGGGTCAAAGAATTAATTGCCCCAGCAAGTATTGTATAATTCATTTAATTACGAAGTGTGAACCATCCAGAACCACAAACAACTGAATAAGATGTTTTCATTACAAAAACCCCATTTATTATCATATCTCCAGCCATTAAATCGCTTGATTCTCGCGTTGCGTTGTGGGTCAGAAACTTATTGTAATTTTTGTTTGTAAAGATCCGTTGTATATAGAATGTCCCCCCAACTGCGGGTCACATAGCGTCCAAACAATTCACGATATCAAAATGCAGTTTCCACTGAACAATGCGGAATCATGGGTCAAGTAACACGATGGAGGACAATTGTCTATACTATTTTTAGTTTTCGATTCATTTAATAATCTTTGATTTTTTAAATGGAACTATATACCTTTATCACCAGCAATGGATACGGCGAGGAATACCATAGAGGAATGATGAATCATATGTTTGTACTTTGATAGTAGTTTGAATATAAAATTAGACTTTACTTGTGATTTTGAATTAAACAGACTATATGTTTTATAGCAGCCGTTGCAGCTCTCGCCTTCGCATAACTCCAGTAATCAATGGTCTTGATACAGAGGACACACCAATGATAATGATGACAATGAGAGACCTTTTTTCTTTTGATTGATTAATCTAAATTTAACTTCTCTTCTGCTGAAATTCCAAAACATCGATCATCCCAAAGAACGATAACAGACTGATAGAGTAAGGAAGATAATGATAAATATAATTTTCAAACTTAACAAGAATAAAATTTGGTTGTTAATGATTATAGGAACAAGCCAGCATTTAAACACATTTTACGTAAAGGAAGGAAATCTTTTCAGAAATAATATGAGAAAATGTCTGCCTATCTATTATTTGGTGAATTAATCAATTTATTATAATAAAAATCTTTACACATTCTTTATCTTCCCTTGTTTTAAAGTGCTTCTTTGTTTCTGCCATAACACACTCAGCAATCCAATCGCATAAGTTTGAAAATAGCCTTTATTATTATTATCGTTCTTACGTGACCAAATTTTTTATTTTGTTCTTTTCAATTATCGTCGATTTGGAATTTCAGTAGAAGAAAAGTTCAATTCAGATGAACCATTGGAAAAACCTTATTCATTTTGATCGTTAACATTGGTGTTTGTTTCTGTGTCTTCGCGTCAAGACCAGGGATTGCTAGTTATTACTCTATCCCTCACGGCCACCCGTCTCCACGTAACAGTTTCCACGTTGCAAAGGCCACCTTCTCCAACGGTCACTGTCGCAATGGCTGCGACAGAAAATATGATCCATTTCATTCAAAATAACTTGTTAGAAAGTAATTTGAGAATAAAATTAGACCATCAAAATACTAACATATTATTCATCATTGTATTCCTCTTTTCATGATCTATCCATAGCTGGCGAGAAAAAAATGTAGTTTCATTTAAAAAATCAAAGAATATTAAATTTCTCTAAAACTAAAATTATTGCAGAATATTTTTTTACATCATGTTATTTGCCCCATGATTACGTATTGTTCAGGAAACACTGCATTTCGATGTCGTGAACGGTTTAGAAGTTATGGGGGTGGCCCATAACTGGTATAAATTTAGAATATTTCATTTGTTGTGATATAATAGGGTATTTTATTAATTTTTTATGAGCATTATGCATCCTACTTTTTGGTGAAAAAAAAAGTGTTTTTTACTTCAGCTGCATTTTCACTACGGCAGGCCGCTAGTAACATTTAATCACGACCAATACCTCTCATGTAGTCATCCGTTCCCCACCTAGCAACGTGGCGCATATAGTTGAAGAGTGAATTAACAAATTAACAACCAGAAAGCTTTGGATGGACGAGTAGACTGAAAAGGATCTCAGAGCAATGAGAAGTGAGTGGAGAAATGTCGATAGCAGTCGGATAAAGGCAGTTAAGTCACAAAAGTGTGTTTGAATACATCGAATTAATGATTTCCTCTGTCCATTTCTCTCAAATCCCCTCTTCGTTGCTGAACAGCTAACGTAATGCTTTCGTTGCGGCACGTAACGTCGGGATTTACCAACAGCAATGACCAATATAATGTTTTGAAAAGAAGAGAATACGCATGTCCAAAATGGCGCAACTTAGCACCAACCAATGTATCCGTTTTACTGACAATGCAAAATAAATATGTAATATAAACCTTGAAAGCCTCCCGGTTCATTTCAAATTCCCAAATACACCGAGAGATTCAAATACCTCACCTCTCAGAATTCATCTCACAAACCTCTGAAAAATTGTATTCTGTAGCAACATCGACGCGGAGTTAAAGTTCCCAAGAATGCGTCATAGCATGTTGTTCACCAATGAGAAGGCCAGTTGAGAAATATGAGAACGCTGTGAATCATCTGAAATGAAACGTTGATATAACACCCCTCAGGGGTTTGACGCATAATTTTCAATGACTCATCTAATTTCGATATATTTGGTTTAAAGGTGTTTTATAGCAAATGAAATGCGAGCATTTAACATTTCAGTTTGAAGAGTAAGCCATTTATTCCGTCAGGTTTAAATTTTGATGTCTCTAATGATTATACAAGGGATTTTAATGATATGCCATTTTTTTCTTTTCACTTTAGAATAATGCCGTTTAGCACAGAAACTCAGTTTATGTTATAACGAAACGGAATGACGCAATTTTATATGTGAATTTTGCATTTTCGGCGATTCCGACTAAGTCATTGTTTACCTTTTTACGCCATTTTACTGCATTTTCGCTACATAAATCGATTTTAATATAATTCTAAAGGTATTAACTTCAAACAATATTTACAAGATACAGCCACGGAATTCCTGAATAACTTATTCTATTTTTTGGCTCATATATTGTAATGTCAGCTGTTGTGAGCAATATGTAATTTAAGGTTTCTGTGTCGTTTATTGGCGCTATTGTCAGTTCGTCCTTATTGGTGATAAACAAAGGATTAGTTTTTCTTTTAAAGAACAGTCCAGTTTGCAAAGCTGAGTTTACTTCATCGAAAGAGATCACTTGTGCGAAAGCCTTAAATCAGTCGCCGTCCATTTCTCCCCCTTATTGGTAAAATTCTATTCCAAAATATTAAAGATCCCTTCATATATTCACATATTCACTTTCACATAGGTAAGCAAACTCGTCACCGCAAAAGGTTAGAAAGAAAGTTACCAGGATAGTTTTTTGATCTTCCGGAGATATCAACCTGAGTCTTTTCTTATAAACTACTGTATTTAACCACTGTATTGTATTATTATATCTAATGCTAAATTTATATTTATAATGTCTCAAGATTCCATATATAAATCATTTTAATGTATTTATCTTATCCGGCTGCAGGGGGCCAATGGTGAAGCTAGAATAAATAAAAAAAGGAGTGTATATCCATGTTATAATTAAGGTAATACAATATTTAATGAAAAGTATAATTTTTTAGATAACTAGATCAGTAAATATTTTTATGGGATCTAGTTAACCTTTTTCGTACATTAAAATTACTTTTTATGTTAGATTAGAAAAACTACTCTATAAAAATTACAAAGAACAATTGATGAAAGAAGCGC